ATACATCGAGATGTTGACAAATATTTTCTTGCTCCCGAAGATGATATTGTGCAGTCTTATTGCATAAAAGTTTTTATCCCCCTCCTTTGAAAATGTTGCAAATCTGAATCTCTTCTCTCTTTTGTCTTGCTTTGGCAGAATGACCACTTCTTCTATTTTTCTATACTTTTGAAAGACTTTGTACATCTCTTTTGCACCAAAATTTTATGGAATTTCTGTGAAGAAATATGGGCATAGTTTTTACTCTATTAGCTCCTTTTTTTCCATAATGGATTTTTTTTTGAATAACCATGTATTAAAAAAAAATTATCAAATAACCACGTTTCAGAAAAAATTACACAAATAACCATGTTTCAGATGACTCCCCAAAGGAGGAGCCATCTCACATGGCGCCTACACCCATTATTTAAGGGGAGGCGCCATCTCACTTGGCGCCTAGGTTCTTAGGACATGCCCTAAGCCAAGTGAGATGGCGCCTTAGTGCAATTCTAGGGCAAATTTCGCGTTTTTTTTTTCAGTCCGGTGCGTTGCGTATTCGATACAGGATCAACAAAATTGACTTTTTATTATAAAAAAATAATTACACCCATATATATTACATTAAAAAAATAGAAAAATCAGTGATCCCCCGAAACCCGGTAATGACCCCCAGTTCCGCATCCCCGTCCTCACCTTTCCCGTGCTGGGTGTCGTCACGTTTCCTGCTGTGGCAGGGTCGATGGCCCAACGAAGTCAATGCGTTCCGGATCCATGAAATCAGTCAGATCTCCATATCTAGAAGATCCTCTTTGGTACAGTCGGTTAAGGGAGGCACCATTGGACTTGGCGAAAGAGTTCAAAAATTAAAGTTGTCGCCATCCCCATAGGCGAATAAGAGGTGTCATGGGTTGCAGAGTAGGCGCGGGCTAGGTGGAAGCCTTGGGGATGCCATGCCTGAATGCATGTAACACTATTGGAGGTGATGGGAGGATACTTACATGTTACAGTGTAAGTGCAGAGTAGGCGCAGGCTAGGTGGAAGCCTTGGAGGTTACATCCTTACTTAATTCAAATTCAGTATGACCTATTTAGTCTTACATTTATCAAAACACTGATTCACTTAATCTGTCAAACCTTCCAACCTTCCAACCTTCATACAATCAAACCTTCAAACAATCAAACATACAAACCTTCGAATAACTCATAAACTTCAAACATTCCAACCTTCAAACCTTCCAACCTTCAAACCTTCATACAATCAAACCTTCAAACCTTCAAACAATCAAACATACAAACCTTCGAATAACTCATACACTTCAAACATTCCAACCTTCAAACCTTCAAACCTTCAAACAACCCTACGCAATGGCCTCTGCACCCCTAATATGTCATCAATTCACATTTCAACAGAGAGACATACATTTGTCCCACCTCTGGGTTTTTGTTTAGAGACACAGACAACATCCGATTTCTTTTAAACGGGAAAGCTAATTTCTCGTACTTCAAAAAACGATTGGAGGCCAACCTTGGACGAGGCCCGGTGACACAGATATTTTATCAGAATCCAGTTTTTTTTGGAAACAACCAAATAATATTTTATAAGGTTGAGGTTCAAGATGACGAGGATCTTCAGAATGTGTTTTCCAACCATGTGTATTCTGGGTACGACTCTATTGAGTTGTACATTATGCTGCGAGAGCCTCAGGTGACACAAGTGGTTGATCCTTTGGAGAACGAACAAGCAGAGGTAGATGCAGTTGATGAAGAAGAAGAAGATGACGAGTTAGAGTTTGATGAAATGGTGAATGATGATTCCGACGATGATGGCATACCTAGTATTCCTGCAAACGAGATCTACACACCACCTCCGTACATGACAAACTTCAACATGGGCGGAGATGAACCGTCTACTGATTTATTTTTCAATCCGTATATGCAGTCGGATGAAAACTTAAAAGAGAAGGACAAGTTTCGTAACAGAGAGGAATGCATCAGAGCCATAAAAAATCCCACATGCTCAACTCGGTCGATTTTAAGGTGGACCATGTCAACCCAGAAAGGTACAAGATCAAGTGTGTCCACCCTGACTGTATGTTCAAGCTCACTGCATCATACAGATTAAGAGGTGATTGTTGGGTCATAGGTTCCATGACTATCCACACTTGTGTAAGTTATACCCAATCACAGGACCACTGAAAACTTAATTACGATCTCATTTGTCAAGAAATCCTACCACTGGTCAGCAACGACCCATCTTTGAAGGTGAAAACCATCATCTCCCACATCACCACAGTTTTTAACTATACTTCATCTTACCGTAAGACGTGGTTAGCAAAGACTAAGGCGATTGAAAAGGTGTACGAAAATTGGGAGGAGTCATACCAAAAACTTCCTCGCTACCTGAATGCACTCAATACTTATTCTCCGGGTACTGTTTACATTCTGGAAACAGTGCCAGCATACGCCCAAGATGGTAGTCAACTAAACGAAAACGGAATATTCAGTCGAGTGTTTTGGGCATTTCAACCTTGCATCACAGGGTTTGCATCATGCAAACTAATTATACAAATTGATGGAACTTGGTTATATGGGAAATACAAAGGCACGCTACTGATGGGAGTTGCATAAGATGGCAACTACAACATTTTCCCAATTTCCTTTGCCCTAGTCGAGGGGGAGACCGGTGGTGCTTGGAGATTTTTTCTGAAAAACCTGCGAACACACGTGGCTCCTCAACCAGATCTCTGTTTGATCTTGGACAGACATGCCTCCATTGAAAGTGCCTACAATAATCCTGCAAAAGGTTGGCATGACCCTCCTTCTACGCATGTCTATTGCGTTAGGCATATCGTCTAGAATTTCACGAGGGAGATCAAGGACAAAACACTAAGGAAAGCGGTTATGAATGCGAGATATGCATTGACACAACCCACGTACAAATATTACAGCAACGAGATTCGTTTGTCAAATCCGGAAGTCGGTAGGTGGATCGACAATATTCCGGTGGAAAAATGGACTAGGTCATACGACAATGGCCAAAGATGGGGGCACATGACAACGAATCTTATTGAATCGATGAATGAGGTATTCAAAGGCATACGAAGCCTCCCGATCACTACATTGGTAAAATCTACATATTTTAGGATGGCTTCGTTGTTTGTCAAAAGAGGTGAAATATGGAATGCAGTGTTGCAATCTGGACAACTATGGAGTGAAAGCTGAACGAAGTACATTAAGACAGAAAGTGCCAAAGCCAACAGTCATATGGTTATACGGTTTGACCGAAACAACCACAACTTCATTGTGAAAGAAACAATCGAGCACAATGAAGGTCTGCCAAGACAAGAATATAGGGTCATACTACCTTCTCGTTGGTGCGATTGTGGCAAGTTTCAAGCCTTTCGTATGCCTTGCTCTCATGTCATTTCCGCTTGTGCTTATACCCATCAAGACGCGCTACAACTTCTGTCACACATTTAAAAATCTGAAACGTTGCTCAACGTTTACAACAATAACTTTCCTTTGGTAGCAAAACCAGATTATTGGCCTGCATACGATGGAGAAAGAGTGTGGCACAATGACCAAATGCGAAGGAACAAGAAGGGTCGTCCCAAAAGTAAGCGCATCACAACCGAAATGGACGAACTTGACAAGCTGGAAAGAAAGTGTGGTTTATGCCGTCAGGTCGGACACAATCGTAAAAATTGTCTAAATCGGGCGTCTGCCTCGATCACATAAAAATTCTAATACATAAAATCTTTCCTTAATTATGTTGTAAACATTAGGGTTTTTCGTTAACAGTATTTGCTACAATAAATATTGCGCGTACAAGAAAAAACACGATATTCCGTCTACGAAATTACAACTGTTAAAACAATTTCATCTGACCCATGCATCATCAACATTACGTCGCTGTCTGTTTTGACTTCCTCCAACCATACATTAGGTCTTCTTGTCGCATGTGAGGTTATTGTTCGTCTTTGCTAGATCCTTTGAATTTTTCCCCCTCCGCAATGTCTCCATCTAGCCATCGCATCAACTCCCGCTTCAGACGCTCCATGGAGTGAATGTGCCAGAATTTCATTTTCATCGCAGGTTTCGTGGCGGAGAAGATAACGTAACCATCTCTGGTAAAAATCATGGGCGATGTCATGACGAAAATAACAGAGTAAAAAATAAGAAAACAGTGCGAGAAAGTGTGAGAAATGACGGAGAAACGGACGAATTATTTATAAAAACAGCATTTTGCCCTAGTTTTGTCCTAGGAGCCAAGTGAGATGGCGCCTCCTCTCACTTTTAAAGTGCATGCGCCATCTCACTTGGCTAAAAGAGAGAGGAGGCGCCAAGTGAGATGGCGCCTAGGGCAAAACCCTAGGTGGAGGCGCCAAGTGAGATGGCTCCTCCTTTGGGGAGTCATCTGAAACATGGTTATTTGCGTAATTTTTTCCGAAACGTGGTTATTTGCGATTTTTTTTTTTAATACCTGATTATTGAAAAAAAAAATTCTCCATAACGTCCCATCTCAAATTCTTTCTTCTTGGCCAGCCATTATTCATGCTCAAGCAAATAACTTGTAATTCAAAAGTAAAACAAAATTTAATTTTTGAAAATTCAAAAACAAAAAGTAAACCAACACAAGATAGTTATTGATGACTTATTTTACAAATTGACACTAATCTTAAATTACATGAAATTCTGTAAACAATCAAAAGGCAACAATGAAAGACACTCCATGTACACACCAAAGGCGTGTCTACAATAGCCCCAAAATACATGAATCCAGGATGTTTACCTGAAAGTAAATGAATAAAGAGATCATATATGACTAAGTAATATGAAGTAATGCAAAAGAGATTATGTAAAAAAATTGTTAAGCACCAAAATGTCTTAAACGGCAAAGTAAATTATTGTTTACTACCACTAATTTTAATTATATGTGTAATTCTAAGGGGAAAAAAAATATTTTGATAAGTATATAGAATATTTACCACATTGATATGATTTCAAGGGAAAGAGACAATTTCAGAACCATCTCGAGTTGAACCAATCTTTGACATCATAAAGAAACTTGAAGTAAGCATGCCTCCATCTCCTCATGAATAAAAGGGTACCAAATACTATCCAAAAGCTTGTTGCAAATCCAACTCCCATGCCCATATAGAACCATTGCATTACCTCTGATTCTTCCTCGTCATTTTCCATCAATTTTGTGTCACCACCACCAGGAACTTCAATGTGGTTGCATTTTTCCACAAGTGGAGTTCCACAGAGTTGAGGATTTCCCATATAACTAAGATTTGAAAAGCCTTGAAGTTGAGTTCCTAATGGGATTTGACCTCGAAAATTGTTGAAAGAGAGATTCAACACCTCAAGAAAAGAAAGAGCAGACATGGATTGAGGAATTTCCCCTGATAATGTGTTATTTGAGAAATCAAGTGACTCTAATGCTTTCATGTTTCCTATTTCTTGTGGTATGGTCCCCATTAATTGATTTTGTGACAAGTTTAAGGATTGTAATGCAGCGAGACTGGATAATTCTAAAGGCATTGTACCCGACAAACGGTTGTTAGAAAAGTCAATAACACACATATACTTTTGATAGTCTAACTCATTACCTTTTGCCTGTAATGGAACACTTATTTTAAAGTTGAGATTTAGACGTGTATTGAAAACACTAATACCAAACCCATCACTTTCTGAAGCATTGTTGGAAATCATGGCGGTGATATTACGAAGGCAGTGAGGTATTGTTCCTGTTAACCTATTATATGCAAGATCCAAGACTAAGAGAGAGGACAATTGACATATTTGTAGAGGAATATCACCACTAAATTTATTTGACCTCAATATAAGAACTCTCACATGCTTTCCGATCCAATATGGTATTATTCCAGAAAATTTGTTTCCACTAAAATTAACAATCACAAGTTTTAGGAAATTATTTAATGACAAGGGTATCTCTCCATGCAACTTATTATTATAGATATGTAGTGACAAAAGGTTGGATAAGGCACCCATTGAATGCGGAATCACGCCTGTTAAGTTATTTCTTCCTAAACTAACATGGACTAGAGATTTCCAGTTTTCCCAACATTCAGTGAGTCCTCCAGATAAAATGTTATCAGAGACACCCAAGTATTTCAAATTACTTTTCTCTGTCATATTTTGGCATAAGAGAGAAGAAAGAGATCCTGACAAATTGTTGTCTAGTATTTGAAGAACACTTACATTTGAAGTTAATCGAGGAAGGCTACCCCTCAAACCATTTCCAGGGAGCCATATAATTTCAGAGTTCAACACCACGTTTGACATGTCCCAAGGCATGTCATTGTCGACTAAAGAGACAAATATGCAGTGATTTGCTAATCTCCAAAACATTTCTTGGGATACATTTTTAAACAAAGAGTAGTTAATTTCTAGATAATCAAAAGATGTTTGTGTGTACAACCATGAAACAAGTTTAAGATCTGCATACTCCAGCACAAGGAATTGAAGTATGAAAGGAGGAATCCAGTGGGGATCAAAATCAAATATGAACAAGGGTGAACTCAAAAACAAACGTTTTAAATTGAAAAGTTTGGCAAAATTTTGATGGGTCACAACTCCAGAAAGATAATTTTCTCCAACACCCAACGTCTTCAAATTTGAGAGATTCCCTAGACTCGGAGGAAGAATACCACTCAAATTATTTGAGGCAACATCAAGGTAAGTCAAAGATGACAAATTTGCTAAAGTTGTTGGAATAGACCCATTAAATAAATTCCCAAAGAGACTTAGACGTTGTAGTTTGTCAAGTTGGCCCAACCAACTGGGAATTGTTCCACTCATTCTGTTGCTTTTCAAATTCAATGAATGCAAGTTTCGAAGATGCAACAGATATTTAGGTATTTGGCCATGAAAATTATTTCCTCTAAGATTCAAATAAGAAAGACCAGTGATATTAAACAACCAAATAGGAAGTTCAGAGAATAAATCATTGAATGAAATATCAAGATGTTCAAGTGAAGTGAAATTAGCATACTGAAAAGACGTACTCGCACTTTCAAGTTGGCAATTACTCAAATGTAACTCAGAAAGCGAAGGAAGTCTAGTCAATATTTGATTCCAATGAATTTGTTTGTGGAGATCAATCGAATTTAGATTGAGAAATATTAAAGATGATGAAAGACGAAGAAGCCATCTTAAATCATCAATGACAAGATTCTCATTTTCTGACAAGTCAAGATAAGCAACACTGGAAAAGTTTTCATTCTTGTGAGGAGTGTTAACTAATGACAAGTTTTGACAATCAATAGATACATGTATAGCTTTGAAGTTATTATTGCTCAAATTCAAGTAGGTCAAAAACTCAAGCTCAAATAAAGAAAGATGAAAATTACCACCCAAACAATGTGCTTTGTTCTTTGTGTTGTCAATGATGTAGTCATCAGTTGAACAAGGGAGGGTGAGATTGGTGACTCTCCCATTGATGTCACAAAGAACTCCTCTCCATTCACAACAATCTTGTTTGCTGGACCATGTTGACAACATGCCTAATGGATCACTGAGTCCATGTTTAAAACATAGAAGTATTTGTTTGTCCTTTTGGTTGCAAGAACTATTTGTTTCACATCTTACTATATTGCATATGATTACAAATGACAATAATAGAGAGAGCAGTTTGGTTGGAGAAGGAAATTTCATTGTCACCATGAAATCAGTATATGAAGGTGTAAGATATTGTAATTGGTTTGCGGTTGGTTCCCATGTCTACCTTGGATACATTATTTATAGGTCGGACATCAATTGTTTATAAAAAAATGATATTCTTACACTAAAGTTATATTTTACTGAACAGTCAAATATTATAAGAATAAATTTTTTTTTTTAAATTTGTTTTCTTTTCAAAATTCAAACTTGAAGGATTAATATTTCTATTATCATTAAAAATTAGATCAATACAGAAATAGAAGACAAGCGGGGTTACTCCTTTTTAGATCACAAAATTAATCATTTTAAAAACTACATTCATAGACTTAGGAGATACAACATTGTCATTCTTAAGTCTCTAAACTCTCGGTAAGATATCAACTGCTTCTGGTGTTAGGAGACCAAGAGCAGAATATAAAATAATTTTTTTTAAATTATTTACTTATATTAAGTGATACTGATATAAAATTGTATGATTAACAAACTTCATAATTCCGTAATATCTTAATACTAAAAATTACTTTTAAATTATGGACGTTTATTAGTTAACTTCGTCACTTTATTAATCAATTATTTACATTTCATTAACAAATTCGATTTTACTATTATTTTTAATATTTGACCGTTTATTAACCAACTTCGTTACTTCATTAACCAATTTTTTACAATATATATTAACAAGCTTTGTTTTACTGGTAAAAGTCATTATTCATGCACTAATCAAGAGTATTTACTATGTCAAACAAGCACATAGACAACGATTTTTTTGGCCATAGACAGCGCTTATAAGCATTGCTTATTCCTGTGCTGCTGTAACCTTAGGCAGCGCTTTTAGTCTATATGAAAGCGTTGCTTAATGTAGACCTTAGACAGCGCTTTATTGAACAAGCGCTTTCTAAAGGCCTCTATAGGCGGCGCTTTTAACAATGTAAGCGCTTTCTATAGTTTTCCTATAGCAGCGCTTTCACTTTAGACAGCGCTTGAAGAAGCGTTGTCTAAAGTGAAAGCGCTGCTATAGGCACACTATAGAAAAAACATTGTCTATTGTATTTTTTTTTTATATTTTAGTTAAGCGCTGTCTAATATCCTCTTTTAGGCAGCGCTTGTTATGTCATAGGTTGCGCTTTTTGGTTTAAAGCGCTGTCTAATGTTAACGGATTTTTTAATATATTCAGCTTATATTTTAAGCGCCATGTACACATAATCACTTAAAATTTAAGCGGTGTCTTTCAAATTTGCACCTGAATTTATAAATTTTTGAAGCTTCAATCCAATAAATATGAACCAAATTTACATATTTATATATACAACTTTAATCTAACAATTTATATATACATAAATACAACTTAAAGTGTTCAATATTGTTATCTTCAAGAGTTGCTATATTCTACTATCTTCTCTACAAACAACAACAATGAAGAATCCTAAATGAATCTATATATCTTCTACACATATATGCACCTACCTGAAATAAAACAAACAAAGACATATATATTAGAATCAAGCTATATATATATAACACTTAAAAATCAATGTAACAAAAACAAATCAAGATTCATACAAACAAAATTCCCCGATTCATACAATGCATACAAACAAAATTCACCGATTTCGTCCATACAAGCAAACAAAATTCCGTTATAATCCACCATTAAAAATTCCTGATTCATACATACAAACAAAATTCCCTGATTCATATCATGCATACAAATAAAATTCCCCGATTTCGTCCATACAAACTAACAAAATTCCGTTATAATCCACCATTAAAAATCTCTTGATTCATACATACAAACAAAATTCCCCGATTCATACCATGCATACAAACAAAATTCTCCGATTTCGTTCATACAAACAAACAAAATTCTGTTATAATCCACCATTAAAAATCTCCCGGTTCATACATACAAACAAAATTCCCCGATTCATACCATGCATAGAAAAAAAATCCCCGATTTCGTCCATACAAACAAACAAATTCCGTTATAATCCACCATTAAAAACTCCCTGATTCATACATACAAACAAAATTCCCCGATTCATACCATGCATACAAATAAAATTCCCCGATTTCGTCCATACAAACAAACAAAATTTTGTTATAATCCACCATTAAAAATTATCCGATTCATACATACAAACAAAATTCCCCGATTCATACCATATATACAAACAAAGTTCCCCGATTTCGTCCATACAAACAAACAAAATTTCGTTATAATTCACCATTAAAAATTCCCCGATTCATACATACAAACAAAATTCCACGATTCCGTTATAACCCACCATTAAAAATTCCCCGATACAATTTCAAATACAAACAAAATTTTCATCTCAATAACAACAACAACATTGCAACAATTTACTACACTATGACGAGATAGTATCTCATTAACTCAAACTTATATATACTCAAAATTATGATCAATGAAAGTGTCACAATACCTTATAAAATTCTCATCTCAATAATGAATTGACACCAATCCTCCTTAATTTCGTCCAAATAATCTTTCGAATAAGTAGAACACTTGTATTCATCAAAGTACTACATAATATAACATAATATGATTTAGTTAAAACAAATTAATTAGATGAAATGTGTTAAATATATTAGAATAAATCATAAGTTAGAAACTCATACCATGGATGGAATCTCTATTTGATTCAAAAGAATAATTTCTTTCATAAACCTCAATATGAAATAACCGCAATCTATACCATTGTGTTGACGAGGACACTACACATGGAAAAATATACAAATATATATCATCTCATATAATTTAACTTGTTTTATCAAGTAGCATCACTAATATAATAAAAATTATGAAAATATACCTACACTCTAATCCATGTAATGTTGTTTGCCTTACTCTTTGGTACTTGAATATTTCTTTGTGATCTAAAAATTTGTATAACCCTAATAAAATATAAACGAAGATTTAGAACAATCTCGCATAAAAAATAAATAAGTATACAAATGAAGTTTTAGAACAATTTAACTTATGTATCAACCATCTCCTTCATGTATGGGTATTTTTTCCAATCGCCTTCTAACGAATCCAAATAATATACAACTTCTCTTATTGGATTGATCGCAATCAACAACCAATGTTCACTGTAAGATTAACAAAGTTTAGATTGAAACTTTCTACAAAACGTCAAAACACGAAGAATTATAATAGATGAAGTTTGAATAAAAATCTTACCCATTGCCAGTATTAAATGGAAAAAAAACAATTTTTCCTTATCTATGTTGGCCATAAATGTACGGACAAAATAATCTTTTACGTCATCTGGTCGTTGTTGGATTAATAGTGTGTTGATATTGTTTGGAGATAAGAAGGAGAATCTCTGGTCCAATTGATGCGGGTGCATCAAGTTGCCATACATGAAACTTAAATAAATACATCATTAACATCAAGACCATTCAATGAAATTAGTAGATAAATTGTTCAATAAAAACGAAATAAAGTTGATCGGATAATACCTGATGTATGTATTGACAACACCGAGGCCTAATTCTTCATGTTTAAGAATTTGATCCACATCCTCTCTACTTATTGTTTCGTAATAGGAAAAACCAAAAATACCTTCCTCCATAGGTATATTATGAGCACATCGTCAGCCAAATCTGAAATTCCCATTAATGTCTGAAGGCACGACCTATACCGAGAAGTAGGCTTTTTTCTAGCCGCAGACTTTGCCAAAACTCATTTTTCTGCGGACATGTTACTCATAGGGACTTGTTGCATGTCTTTAACATGAATCTAAAGATCAAATGCATATAATAAGTTACGTTAAGTATAAGATAGTGAATTAACCTTTTCTATGCAAAATATATATTAATTTACCTCGTTTTTGGATGCAACTGACTCGGTCTGAGGCTTAATCCCCTTATCTTTTAATTTGGATTTCGTGGGAGTCTAACATTACCATGAAAAAAAATGTACGTTAAATGGTCGTAATAGTTTTCATAATAGTTTTCAACGCTGCAAATGTTAACATACCTCATAATCCATGCAAATGAGGCTTGACGGCCATGCAACATAAGATCCTATTGCCTCTCCGACCAATATTGCATCTGAAATATCGTCAGGAAACGGTAATGGCGTATCCTCTCTATTGAAATTTCAATTGATACTTTCAAAAATCTAGCAGGGAGCGGTTATGGTGAAGTACTTCTCCCAAGGTGTTATGCACTTTTCCCTTGCTAACCATACGATAAGTCGGTGATGATAAATATAGCTGACAAGGTGAAATTCCCTAAACCAATACCAAATATGAAATTGTTAATGTTTATATATGTCAATTAAAAAAATTATGCTAATTCATAATAATATATGTTACCTTGGTAATTTTCTGTTGGAAATCACAATTGGCACTACCTTTGTCACTAGTATCTTTGAACCCTGACACTTGCCTTTATGACATGTATTTTTCTTTGTCCTTTTCCAACTCACAAACTTTAGCTTTTAATTTTTCTAACTCTTCCATCACTTCTTTATTGCTATGACCTTTCTTCTTTTGATGACTACCCAAAGATGTTGGAGTCACCCCAAATCCCTTACCCCTCACACGACCGGTATACTCAGGAACATTTAATGCTTGACTAACTATGCTCCTGTAATCCTGGTCTTCAGCTTGAGTTTGAGATAAACTCTCCTGAAATTCATATGCATAGCGAAATAAATTAGTGGTCATTAAACTCATAAATTCCGTACTTTAATAAACTTTTGATTTAATTATAGGAATATTGATATACTTATACATTTCTCATAAATTTGAAGCACATCTTCCTTAACAACTCCATCCTTACCCACCCGGGCAGCCTTCCCGAGAAC